GGGGGGGCTCTTTCGCCCCCCCCCCTCAGAACTTGCGAACGGTATGTCGTATGACCACCAAATCTTCAGAGGATGGTGTACTAGTAAAAATTTATCATATCTACAATTATTATGTCGTTGTGACGTAATATGACGTCATTATGACGTCATAAATGTGATTTTATTGGCCAAAACCGCCTAGATAGGTTCTTCCCTGAAAACTAAACGGAAAACGACATAACTTTACCAAAAGTGTTTTATGACAGATTATTAGGGTGTACTAAGTCTTATGTTGCCCATAGCAACACCGGTGACGTCATAAAATGACGTCATGCATACATTAGCTATCCGCCATCTTGGATCATCAATCTTGAATTTTGAAAAATAGTTTTTTTTCAGGATAAAGCCTAAAATACTTTGTACACAGACTAAAGACGTTCATATGAACCTTTTTTGTAAAAAGAAATGGGAGTATTGAAGAAATTTTAAGTAAAATAACCCGTATATACCTGATCTAATGACATGGTCCGCCATCTTGGATTTTGGCCGATGGCGTCATCAAATTAGCATAAATTATGCATTTTTAATGATGGAATTTACATGTTGTTATCAGAGATGTTATTGATATTTGAAACCATGTGTAACTTGACATAAAACCCTTAAAATTCTGTTGTTGAAACGGAAATTATTAAATTTAGCAAAAAATGCCTGTCAGAAACCCGTTGCCATGGCAACACCAAAAATCATTATCTTATTCCAATGTTACAGATTTGTTGCTAACAATATTTTAGGAAAAGTCACTAAGTTTGGCGGTTCTAGCTCCAACCGTTCGGATGCTATGTGACATCAAAGTTGGCGCGGGCACTTTTAGCCCCCCCCCCCGGTCTAGATAGGGTTAAGTTTAAGCCGAACCATTCTACAACAATATGATTGCATATAACACTGATCTATATGCAGGCAAAGCAATCTGTAGTCTCCCAGCTTGACAGAGGAGCCCAGGGACCGGGATCGGAAACCGTGTATCAGTCCTACTTTGTGTGCATTTCGGAGAACAATGAAACATCAGCAACATTAGTAGAGTTTGGAAAGACACCGGACAACAAAGTAGGTATTAACTAACCAGATGGTACTGATACAAAGACGAGTGCGAAGCACTATTCGAAACTTTAAAATAAGACAAGAAATTGTCAAATCAGGACACTTGCAAATAAACGTATAGTGGACATATTATACAATTATGTTTCCAGTTGTTTCAAAAAAGAAAGAAGGAACGATGACTAATAGTAGATAATTAATTGTATATAGTTTTGTTGTACTACGACAAGGGCCCACGACAACTTATAGAATGTAGCGTTTACAATATATACAGCATTTAAAAAAATTCCGCCATGTTCTATATTATTTAGACCTCATATTGGCAAATGTACAATTAGCCCATCTGGGCAAGGATATGAAATAAAGATTTATTCAAAATTAACGTTTTAAAGAACTATATGACAAAAAACATAAAAAAACAGGTTCATATGCCGTCACCCTGTCTTATATTAAGATGTTTAAATATCGTTACAATGATCTCTCCTTCTACTTCACCTTATAGGATCGAGGTAACATTTGGTTAGGCTATCTATTCGCCGGTGACATCCCATCTGTGCGACACTATGCGTTCGGCAGCGGAGATCGTTCCGTTATGTTGATGGGAGTTTCTCAGATAGATAACCCTGAACGTACCTGTCTGGGGGGAACAACAGAGAAAGATGGCAGATGTGTACAACGCTGTCATGATGAGTGTATAGGTAGGAAATTTCTAGGGCGACTATGATGTTGCCTCATTATTTATGATAATAATTTTGATTTTCTGTCAATGACTTTTTTAATGTTTTTAACTTCTGTCTACGTTTGATCGTTTAACGCATGTCTTTTCAAAAGTTCTCACTTTTCATTAAAGTACATGTGAAAAAAATACTTAAAAAATCATGTTTATATATGGGCGTAAATGATCTGTTATAGTTTTGCTTAAATGAGTTAATGTATAATCCTTCTTGTATATGAAATAATTATCATAGAGGTTAGCACCGTGTCTCTGTCAGAATAGATTCCACTGTCCGGATAAAATAAGATGACATTTCATACCTACCTACCTCTAAATTTTTCTACCGATTAGTTTTGAATATAATAATTTGTAAAAATGAATAATTTGATCTCTTTCAATGTGTACAAGATGGTGTTTGTCTTACGTTATTTAGGCTGTATGATTACCGGATCAAACGACCCACGTCGTTGTGTTGAGTGCAAGCACGTGAAACTCCTATCGAAATACATTCAACAGAATAATAATAATGACTTTGCGTTTGAGTGTGTGGCAGCCTGTCCATCGGGTATGGTCACGGCGTCTGGTACAAACAGATGCAAATGTAAGTAAACCTTAGCATGGGTCAACAGCTTGTTTTGCGTAGTACTAGTACATTTGTTAGAAAGTATATATCAAGAAAACGACAGATAAAAATTTACTATTTGTTTATGAGCATTTAACAGATGTCAACAAAATATTACGAATCAACGAGAATACGCTTGGAATGCCTCCTGTATCTTTTCCCGCCAAATATTGCGCGCTTCGTTATTCAGCAAAGTCGTCCAAAGAAAACGATGTCTGTAAAACAATTACATAATTTTGTTTAAGTGATATTATATACATTAACTTGAAAATACATACAGATAGACTGTGATAAAACATCTTTAATCTAGATGTTGTTGGGTAAAAAAGAATATCTACTATGCCAAGATTCATCATAGTCCTTCCTTTTTCAGGTAACCAGGTGGAAAAGGCTGGTCCCGACGGCTCAGTTCGTTGTCTGCTTGACTGTGGAAGTAACTACTATAACGATAATGGCGTATGTAAGGGTAAGCGAGCAAATTACTGTTAATACTAGAAAGGCCAATATTTGCTTTGGAGCAAATACAGCGATGGGTTCACCACATTTTACGACATGGCAGGGAAAGAATGAGAAACACAAGGGAAAACAATGATTTACATTGATATAACTATAATATGAAGTAAAATACAACTAAAACAACAGTTGGATAGCTATTCCCTACTTTATTGGTTAGGATTTTTAACTGCATAATGCAAACTGTTGATTTTCAAAAAAAAAAAAAAAACGTCCATGCCCCGCATTCCAATGCTGGAGCAGGAAAGCTTGAAATACCTACCAAAACACTTGAATACAGACATACTGTCAGTATGGAAATGCTCTGTGCAGGTGTTAATCAAGTTAAATCCCAACAGCCAATCAGCAAGAAATGCTCTGTGCAGGTGGAAATGCTCTGTGCAGGTGTTGATCAAGTTAAATCCCAACAGCCAATCAGCAAGAAGAATAGAGGAAAGCTGCATGCCTATTGGTTGATGCCCTGCATTCCATTGTGATGACTCATGCCCAAACGTGGTAAATAAACAAGGCACACTAACACAGTAATACATTTGCTATAACACAGCCAAAAAACTCAAATAAACCATTCTAAAAGCCTGTATCACAATAATTTAAAAAACGCCTAGGGGTATTGGCCCACTGTACCTCCATACCAAATTTCAGGACCTTGGGCCCTAAAATGAAGAAGCTGAATCCATTTAAAAAATGGCAGGAGAAGAAGAAGAAGGAGGAGAAGAAACATCAGAAAAAGCAATATGGGTTCACCACCACTTCGTGGTGTGGTGAACCCATAAAAAGGCTAGTACCAAAACATGACAAAGTAATAGACGGGAATATCATACATATTTACAGTATCTAGCAGTCATTAATACGGTGTCGGCAATATCTTTCATAATTCTTAATCTCGAATCATTTTTTTACTTTGCCTGTTAAAAACGAACAGTGAAGTCTGAGAACCGGGCATTAAAATCTACACAATCTGGCACTACTAACTGGAGAATATAAACGCTTCATTACTTATATTAGTATAGCATGGTATCGTATGCTCCCCGGTACCCGGTAGGCTACGGTGCATTGGAGTACCTCTGCGGTGCTGGGAATACTGTCATCCCGCCCGGCTCCATATGAGCGTCTGTCGGAGTTTGTATTTTACGGGGATAGTTTAGGACAGCAATGAATAGAAATACAAGCTGGAAACATCTAACATGTCAAGGGAGGCCTTTGCTCAATATCGTTGGGAACTTTAAAACACCATTAAGCCACAAATCTCTTTGTTGTTTGCTAGCATGGCGAACAAGAATAATTTCTAGCTGAAAGATAGGATCGAGGCCGAGCGACTATCCAAAATATTGGAAGGTTTACCAAAGGTTTAAGACTATGGAGGTGAAAGCCGAGTCAGTAGAAGGTTTCATCGAAAGTTTGCACAAAGCCCAAAGCCAGCGGAATTGTTCTCCACAAAAGACAAAGTTTCGGCTGCGTTCAGGCCTGTCAGGAAAGCTAATGCATGTGAACCACCGGACCCGGGTTAAAAATACTGAGAACTTCGAGCTGTTTTGTGATTGAAAAAAAAAGGATTTCAATCAAGAGACAAGGGGCAGCTGTGATGTGATACATGGAATGGTGTTTGGGCGGCCCCAGAAGATAACTTGTGGGTCAGGCCAGTCGGGGCCAGAACTTGATAGAGAGAGAGGTTCGGTTCGGGTGTGTGCTAGGTTGGAAGACTTGCATCAAACAGTTCTTGGAGTTAGACCCGGCTCATTCCTGAAATCTTTTAAAATCTTTTTTTTTCTTGTTAGCATTTGCAGACACTGAATGGAGGAAGATCCCAGGAAAATTAAAACAAGTTGAGGCTAGGTCAAGTGGACCCGAGGCGTGGGGTGTTGACTCAAACGGCAACGTTTTCAAACTGAATGCTGCGGCTTCAACCATGGATCCCGGTGAGATGAGCACATAACGTGTGCACATGTACTACTGGTATACTTAACACATAGATATAGCGTGATCACTAAGCATACATCGATATCAACGTTGATTTTCTTTGCCCTCCCCCCCCCAATCAAGGCGTTTAATGTATTTAGAACTGGAATACTCGTATTTTATAAAAGCAAGCAGGTTTTTATTACATTTATCAAAAATAGTACATCCCGGGTTTCATTGATGTCCTAGCAGATCTTTTGGAAGCTGCGAAGAAAGTATAATATTGACAGCATAAAATGACGTCGTGAAATGACGTCTATCCACCATCTCGGATCGTCAATCCGAATTTTAGAAAATATTTTAAAGCCTAAAAAATCGAATTAAAAACTAAAGATGTTTAATTAAAGTAACGAAAAATGTGGCAAGACGAAAAAAACTGTATTTGTCTCATTGACATGAAATCGTTGCCAGGTATATTTTATAAAACACCACCAAATTTGATGGCTCTAGCGCAAGCCGTTCTGACGCTGTACGCCTTCAAAGTGGGTTGGCGTGCCCCTCCCCCCCCCCCCTGAACACTATACGACATCCAGTAGCTTTATATCTAGCGGGGGCCAATCGGAGGGCTGGTGACAGGCTAGCGCGGCTATTAGCCAATGACGGCCAGCTATTAGCACCTTCTTTGTAAATGTCATGAACTCAACCCAAACGCGTTTTGAACCGAGAGTTTACTGGCTGTACCACAGCCCAACAATGCTGTGCGTCGTCCTTTCAGCAGCTATCAGAACCATGACAGACAACAAAACAACACTGGCAACAGAGACAATATCACCAGACAACCCGACCAACAAACAAATGCAAAGCGTCGGGAAAAAAATAATAAAACAGACTCACAAGCGGATTGTTCTGCCTGAAGAACAATACCACAAGTTCAAGCGCGCACGTTGTGAGAACTGTGGAACATCAAACTATGTTTTCGTCATAGGAAAGGCTGCCAAAGCAACCACTACGTGCAAAATCTGCGACGAAGAAGTAACCTGGGTTCATCCCAAATCTGGAAGTGAGCTAAAAAGTAATAGAACATAATAATGCATCTTGCTTGTTGCTGTCATCTTACCTGTTTAAGATTGAACCGATACATGTACCTACAAAATTGCCATACTCTGCGTCACAATATCTATCATTGCCATTTCTGTGAATTCCTAATTCCTAGTACTGCTATCGTTAAAGAGGTTCTACCTCTAGTTTGTGTTAATTACGTAGTGTTGCATTCCAAAACGTGTTATTCCAAATCATGATTTGGAAGGGACCACGTTTTGGAATGCAACAGGCATTCCATACGTTGTATTCCAAATCATGGCGTACCTGGATCACGATTTAGAATGTTCCAAAACGTGACTGGCCACGCTGTCATCAGGAATGAATGACAGGGGTGGTGATTAATTATTTATTCCGAAGTTTCCATATTTGGTCCGTTGGCTGCCTGCTGTATACAGATACTGTGTTGAATCACGTCATGTTTACTTGTCTGAACATGTCGTCGAACTTAGAGTGCCGACGGTGTTAGCTGTATGGAAAATGACGTCCATGAACAGTCAGTACGATAAATGCCCTTGGTATGATGTTCCATAGCCTGGCTTGGTCTGAGTTTATCGCGATATCGCCATCAGTGCGCGGTCCTTGGTCGGACGCTCGCGCCTCCGTTTCTCATTATTTTCCCGCTAATAGAATCACGTGATACTTGCTACACTGAAGAGAGAACGTAATTTATAGTTAGAACTTTTCATATTAAAGTGAAGTTTGTAAATATTTAGCATTACTTTGCGTCATTAAAACACCCGTTTAATTACAAAAGTAACTTAGAATGTGAAAAATGCATGACACGTTTTTATCACACTTCATAAACCCGACATGGGATCAGTTGGCGGACAGCTGGAGTTCGTTTCTGTTGGGTCCAAAGGAGTCTGGGGAGTGAATCACCTTGACGACGTCTTCTACCATGTGAGAGGCTTTGATATCAATCCAAGTAACTTGCCCGTGAGTTGGGACCAGACAGAGGGTACCCTTAAACTGAAGCAGATCTCGTCAGGACGCTCAGTCTGGGGCATCAGCGCCAATGGCGACGTCTTAATTCGACTAGGTATGGCGTTAACTTGTGAAATGATACGTAACTTATTTTGCAATTCCTTACGCCTAAATACTACTATGCTGCGTGATGCGCTGTGTGATGAATTACTTTGCACGTCAAACTTCAATTAACATAACTAGGCTGGCAATGTTTTAATTGGTATTACTTGAATTATTCACAAACCATAAGTGTGTTATCATTTGCTGAAAAAAAATCAAAGAATTGTATCTTAAAACTGCATTATGTAACAGAAGGACGATACGAAAAGTCAATTTCTTGCCATTTCTTTGAATAGTAAGTTGAATCAACCATACTCCATTGCCAACAAGTGTCATTTAGGGAATTGAGGTGCCAACATACTATAATATTACACCATACGCGTGTCTAAACTCTGAAAAACACAGGTGTCAGTCATGTTTCTTTACCTTCTGGTACTTCATGTTAGTGCCACAAAATGAGTGCACCTGTTTTTTTTCAATAACAGCTATAAATGCCAAATGTGAAATAAAAGCACAAATATGTTAAAATGTTGAAGAAGTAAATGGCAGTCACACACAGCATTTTTTCAATCGAAATATTTTAATTTTTGGTAAAATAACTACATGTGCCTTGAATGTAATGTTGCGTCAACTTAGATGGGTCCACCTGGGAAACTGTTCAAGGCGTGAAGCTGAAGCAACTGGACGCGAGCTCTAACGCAAACCAGCTCTGGGGGGTTGATTCAAACAACAACATCTTTCGACGGACAGGAATCAGCCCAAATCGACCTGCTGGTATGGATATTGCTTAGAAATCTGACTGTTAGGTTCTTAAACAAAGTTTCAGCCAAACATTTTCCAATAATAATTTTCTTTAATTTTCCATTGAGAGCATGCAGTCGCTGCCAAAATACACGTTTTCCCCTTGTGCCTGCAGATGTCGTAGTCATAAACAATATGGAACCGCGGAGACTGTAGAAGATCTAGATGTTTACGATCAACTATTTTCCTTAGTCAAAAGCCTAAGGCAAATTATGTGTCTGCAATGAATGGCGATAGTGTTGCGAATTGTTGAATGTAAAAGGCTTTATGGTTTATTAAGAGTATCTAACATTAGCAACATAATTTAAAAAATCGTCGAAATAGTAGGTCAAATCAATCCTATAATATATTGCATTTTTTACGTGTTACGTATTGGAAACAAAGCCTAATGTTCTATGGGCTTGCGTCTACACCAGGTACAGATTGGGAACAAATAGATGGCTCAATGAAGTTCGTCACCGTTGGCCCCGCGGGCGTTTGGGCCGTGGACGCAAACGACGACATTTTCTACCGCACGGGAACTTTTGGAAACAAGGCGTCATCAGGCAGCGGTTGGAAGCAAATCGAGGGGAAACTCAAACAGATTTCATCAGGAGACAATATTGTCTGGGGAGTACACGTTAACGACGACATCTATGTTCGAGAAGGTTGGTTCATTCAATTTGGTAAACAAGTGCTTCTGAAAAAAGCTGCCACTGTTGCCCTAATGAAAAGGCACAATGCATAGCGGCAATTGGATATGTATTGAGTGTTAATGCACAGACTGCTTGGTGGCATATATACAACCAAGCTTTATTGGATCTAAGACAAATCTAATCTGTAAAAGAACAAAATGAATTTGTAGTGTCAAATCAGGGTCAGTGCAAGAAAGGAAACAATTCTGTCAAGATTATATCATTGAAATTCCTTTTTTGCTTGAATGTTGCAAATTTTTGTGTTGGAATTTGTAGACTTCTGTGCCTGGAGGGAAAGGTAGGATGTAAACTTTCCCAGGTAGGATGTATGTGTGGGTGTGGGTGTGTGGGTGTGTGTGCGTGCGTGTGTATATGTGTGTGTATATGTGTGTATGTGCGTATGTGTGTTCAATCTCCTTGGTGTAAATCGAATGGACCATTCTGGCTTTGCAGTGCAAATAAGTTTTTGTCATTGTTATATGTAATTACATTTATCAGGCCCTGTTTTCGCCACTTTATCCACTAGTTTCAGCATTCAGTAGGAACTTAAATCTCAATTATTTTGCCAATTGTTCCCAATAACTTCCCATATTGGTGAGAAAATTCTGTGTTTTTAATGCACTTTGCAAATTAAAAAAAAATGCATTAAAAATGGGTTGTTTTAAAGCACATAATATTTCCTCCAATATAATGAAAAGCGTGGACCGCCCCCCACACTTCCCCCTCTGAAAGCGAATTAAGAAATAAAACGAATAAAGGCAACACGATGAATACACTCAAGAGAATATGGATACTCAAAAGATTGGCAAGAATTTTTTTATTAAAAAATTGCAACGTGACAATACAAGGCGTGCACTAGGCAACGATCGAACGTCACCAAACGTCAATAAACATTTTAAAACATCGATCGATCGTTGTTAAAAGTACATTAAATCGTCTATTTCGCATACCAAGCAATTATAGATTTGCATAATTAACTTAGGTATGCACGGCGGTCAATTTCTACGGTAAAGTTTCCAATTTTACTTAGGGGTATCAGGTTACCGGGGTTCCACACACGGCTTCCGTGGGGCCAGTCTCAACGGTACACCTTTTATAAACAATAATAAACAGTTGCACGGGGACTCTCTTGTCCAAATGTTATAAAATTAGCACTGCATATACCTCAAATGTTGTTGTGTTTTAATAATGCTTAAATGTGTGTGAAATCACTCTCAACGCGTTGAATGCTTATTCCAGAGCAATCGACGTCAATAACCAAACAGCTGATTTAAACCGAGCCCAAATCTCCCAGAAAATCCCACATTTTTGCATTTCAGAGAACAGTATAACAGAATTAAGATTTGAGTGGGAGAGTTTTCTTTATTTCAAAGTTAATGTGTTGCTAAGGTCGAACAATTCGCAACTTTTTAACTTCCAAGACCGATAATTCCAGAATGCCGCTATCTTAAATAATCTGTCCGAGACAGATCAAGATTTTTGTCTTAAAACGTTTCTGAGGTAAATTGAATTTGTTTTTGTTGTGGTTTATATCCATGTTTGCAAGCATTTCAGGTCGTGTGTGTAAGTGCAGATGGTAACTTATATCCCCGTAAACAAGAATTACGATCCTCAAGGTCACTCACGATAACTGCAGTAGCTTAACTATATGACAGGGCATAGATATATTGTCCCGAAATTGGTTTATATTATTGAAAAGAAGGTTTTTTTTTACTGTTAGACGGTACCCGTGTGAAAACGGTGATAGAAGCCGCGGATTTACTGTACATGACCGCGGGTCACCCCGGATCGAACGAACGTTCGGTTCGATTGACGTCATATCAAACATGATTCGGTTCGTAAAAAGGTTACAATATTTGGGCCCAAATTTTACCATCGTAATGTATACCATCATTTGTCGTCCAAAAGTTCGGTTTAAGAAAAGTGCCTCAAATATTTGTCTACAATGCTGCAAATATAGAATAAAAGCGTTTTTTTACACGACAGGGGTCTTACGGGGGAGGGGGGGGTATCCTATCTTACGGTTTCCGAGACAAATAAAGGTTCAATGTACCTTGTATAGGCGTGTTAACTCTACGATGTTGTGAAGGGGACGTTTAAGATAGTGTGCTACGATTCCTTGAAAAATCGCACATATTAGGAACATTGGACTAATTATATATATATATATATATATATATATATCTTAGTGATGTTGCATTTCCTTCTTCCGATAAGCGATACAAAGTTAATGCCCAATTCGGTCGCGACTCAGAATCTTGTACAGCACGGATGATATAGGTTGCGTGTCGAACATGAAAGGCTAATCATAGGTATCATAAGCTGTGGAGCCCTAATACCAACATGGTCAAATTATCGTATACTTTGTCCCCTAGCCGTTAACATGGTTATGCGCCACTTACAACTAAAGCACTGTTACCCTCACGTAAACATTTGACACCTATTAGAAACATGGTTAACCCTATGTAGACTGGCTCATTCGCCCTCCCCTCGCCCAGAACTCGCGAACGGTATAACGTATGACCAAATTTTTAGTGTACTTCTGACAATTTTGATGTCGTATTGCCGTAATATGACGCCATTATGACGTCATTATTGTGACTCAGTTGGTCAAAACCTTCCAGACAGATTATTCCTAAAAGCTTACTGGTGTACCATAATGGTAAAAACTTTAACAAAAAGTGTTCGCAATAAAATATTAAGGTGTACAAAGACTTATTTTGCCCATAGCAACACCGGTGACGTCATCAAATGACACCATACATATTTAAGTAATCCGCCATCTTGTATCACCAATCTTTAATTTTGAAGAATAGTTTTTTTTAAGATAACGCAAAAAAACACATTGAAAATAGACTAAAGACGTTCATTTGAACCTTTTTTTTTTTGGTAAAGGGAAATGAAGGAAGTGATAAGATTTTAAGGAAAATGCCCTGTATATACCTGATCTAATGATGTGGTCCGCCAACTTAACTATCAGTCGATGACGTCATGAAAGTAGCATGAATTATGCATTTCTAAGAATAAATTTACATAAATTTACATAAGAAGTTATTAATATTAGAAAGCATGTATAATTTCACACAAAACCCATAAAATGCTATTGTTGAAACAAAAATTACTAAATTTAGCGAAAAAAATGTCCGTCAGAAGCCCGTTGCCATGGCAATACAAAAAGTCATTGTCTTATTTCACTGGCCGTCAGCGGTTGCGTGCATCGTACGTTGCGCAAGTGGTAAGTGAGTTGTACGTGCTTACAACGTACGATCTCTGTGCGATTGCCACGTTGCCGCGTACAGGCCGTACCTACACGTGCGGCGTGCGCACGATTTCCTTACTCACTCGCACGTTGTAAGTGCGTGCACCTCCTGATAACTTCATCATCACTAGCCGCCCTGGTGTCTTCCGCGGCCCGTTTCTTTGGATCTTGTCTGGTAGACTTCTTTTGAGCCATCCTGGGCATCTTGGAGACGAGTTGGCAGTCGCCCGTCAAGTCGTCTTTATATACTGTAGAAATAAGGTGCGTTGCACGTGCGGAGCACCTAGTATGGTGCACGTGTGTTCTGCGTGGTCATTGAGCAGGTCAACTGGGAAGTGAGGAGTAAGCACGGATGACGCAAGCACCGTGCGTGGCACTCACGTGCTTCGTGCGCTGTCCGTACAGCAATTGCACGTGAGAATAGTGAAGTTAGACTCACGGAGTCCGTACGTTGCACGCTCATAGGCTGTACGGGGCACGCGCGTCGCACGTACTCGCACGCACGGGTGGTAAATCCGCAGACCGCACGTAGAAAAAGTATTACATGCACTTAAGGTTCTACGGCGTGTCTGCGTGCTCCCAAATCCGTAGGATTCCGTACGGAGGCGGTACTCACCACGCACGGATGCCGTACGTTTGCCCACGTTTTTGCACGTAGACAGCACGCAGAAGCACGTACGGCGAGTTGTGACCGAGGCTTTAGAAACTGCCAGTTGCGTTGATGTGCAGCCCTTTTTGGTTATCTGGTGTAACGGATAATAAAATATGCGTCAAATATGCGACAAATATTTCCCTGCAGTTTCGATTTCCTCGATGATTTACTTATTGGGCAAAACGAATTATAATGACGAAGCAAACAGCCATGCCAAACCACAAGCAGCTCCGTCATGGTCCAGGCGGGAAGAAGTAAAAGGATCGTTTAGCTACTTTAGTGAACTTCAAAAAGCGAACCGAGATACCCCAGGCCTTTAGAAGGGGAAATTTAATCCTCGCTCGGACTGACTCTCCTGGCCAACTTTTTACCAAATTCTAGGATCCGTACCCCCGTAGGACCATAAGAAGAGCTGGTGGAGGTTAACGGCCACCTATTATATCTTGTAATCCCTTATCATGACATCTTTAAACTACATGTGCATATTGCAGAGGCTTTTTACTATTTCATATCGACATTGAAAAGCCTTAAAAAAAGAAAAAGAAACGATACAACGATATACCATAGCTCCCATGTCCTACATGCCTAGGAATCAATCGTTGCGATACACTTCGTCTTCGCAACCATTCCCTATCACTAACATTAAATTTTACGTGACTGTTGATTTTCAAGACAGGGTTAATAATTTTCTTTCTTTTAAAATTCAACCAGTTCCATCGGATTGCCAGGTGGGAAATGGGGAGTCCTACCGAGGAACAGTCTCTGTGACTACAACAGGCAAGACGTGTCAGCGCTGGGACAGTCAGACACCTCATGTACACGACAAAACACCCGCTAATAATCCTTCAGCCGGACTGGAGCAGAACTACTGCCGGAATCCTGACGGTTACACCGGTGGAGTTTGGTGCTTCACCACGGATCCCGGCACGGAATGGGAGGCTTGTGACCTACCAGTATGTGGTAAGATCTAATTCTGTAACCTTATTTTAAAAGATTTTAAAATTTGGTTTAAAAATAAAATGTAGGTTATATGGCATGTTTTGGGGTTGTGTGGCGTAGTGGTAGAGCGTTCGGTGCTCAAACAGGGAGACCCGGGTTCGATCCCGGGTCCGAGCACAGGGGCATGTGCAAGTATGCGCCCCGACATTGTGCCCTTGAGGAATTGCACCCTCAATTAGAGGGACCAAGTCTCCAACGGCAGTTTTCCTCATCAGGCGTAGGAGAGCAACGCCACTAACGTACGGGAGCTCGCTGCAAGCTTCCAAATCAGAACCAGCACGTCTCTCTCGATATGGATCCGCTGGGAAAATCTGATGCCCAAAGTGTGTGGGTCTCAGATTCGAGAACTGTTATCCACCTTAACCCTCAACAGAACACCTTCCCGGACTGATTAATCTGTACACCTGGGGTCCGCGCGGACCCCAGAATAGTTTTTTGCTAATTTTTAGAAATTATCAACATGCTACCAGCTCAATTGTTTTGCAAACTGATGTGGGAACCTCTGTGTCCACATTACATACAAAAATCATACATTTTGAACTTTTTCTATTTTTTGGTGAAGAAAAGAAGACAAGAAGAAATACCCGATTTTTTAACCCATTTCAGACTGTTGGGGCTTTTGAGGCCCAACTTTGATCTCAGATAGCGGCTAAACGGCTTGCGCTAGAAGTATCAAATTTGGAGACCTTTCCTAAAATGTCTCTGGAAAAAAGTTCATATTAGTTTATTACCATTAAGTTGATGCTTTTTTTTGTGTTGCCATGGCAACGGGTTTCTAGCAGGCAGTTTTTTTTAAATAGAAGTAATTTTTGGTTTAAACATAAAAATTTTCTGAGTTTTTTTATTAAGTTACACTTCTTTTCCAACATTAATAACATCTAAAATAATTAAATATAAGTTTAATCATTTAATATGCATAGAATATGCTAATTTGATGACGTCATTGGTCAACATCCAATATGGCGGACTATATTATTAGCTCTGGCGTCATATGACGTCATTATTACACCAAAGTTATTAAAATTTAATTCTATTACTACACCATTCTCTGAAAACTTGGTAGACATACGATGAGTGCATAAAAACATATAAAAACGGAAATAAGGTAATGTATAAGAACGCCAGTGTATCCATTATGATCGAAATCCGGCTGGGGTCCGCGCGGACCCCAAAAGAAAATCAGATATAATTTTTTTATAAATGGTAGAAACGGAGTTTTCTGCACTGTATTGAGAGACAACTTTGTGGGTGACAATTACCTAAAATTTCAGATAAAAAAGATATTACAAAAACAAAAAAGATATTACAGAATATATAGTGCTGGGGTCCGCGCGGACCCCAGGTGTACTGTTTAGGGTTAAACAAATCCAAACGAAGAGCACCGTGTCAACCCTTCTCACCCAGGTGTGGGACACGGTCTCCATTGTCTCTTTAGACAGAATGATGCCAAAACATGACATGTTTCTACCTATTAACAACCCAAGAGACCCATTTTCTGGCCAATAGTTGTAAAAACAAATATTATTGAAACCATAACACGTGTGTTTATTTAGCTGTAAGGTAATTAAGGGAACAGCTAATCAACAGCCACATGTGCAAACAGGGCTGCACCTGCTGCCTACATTTGAGCTCCTGGTCCTTTGCCCAAATATGGCCACACCCCAATTATAGTAACGCACACTGCTATAGTACATCACCTGTAACACAGCTTAAAAGTTCAAATAAAACCATAGTGTGGTGAAGCATAAACTCTCTGCAGCAACGTAGGAACACCATAGGATAAGCATTTTTGACCATTTGTTTCTGCACACTTACTAAATATCATTTTCAATCTTTTACAGATTTTTGACTTAGTAGGCTGCCTACATATAATCGACAAATGCACAAAAATCCCGCTACAATCAGATTGGTAAAAGCCAGATGGCCCATTTTTTAACTTGAACATCATTTTTACAACAGCTACCAATACAAAAAAAAAAACCATTTAAAAATGAATCAACAAATAATCGAGTTATCTCGTCGACTTAGATGCGGACACACCCCGGCGAAACAAAAACAAACTATTACAAATTATATCTTCTTGACGAAGACCAATAGGCAACCTTATGCGGAAGTGTGCTCATTGTTGAGTAAACGATTCGTCCGATTAACAACTCTAAATTTGCAATTGGGATGTGACGTGTGAACAGTGACGTATTGCGAGATTTGAAGGCAACATCTGCGTTAGCGCAGCGTAAGCTGGGGAAAGAGTTGGTCTTTCCGTTATTACCTAATAGTGATATGTTAAGATTTTACTCATAATATAAACCATGTACAACATACAGAGCGATATCTTGATCTTGCAGATTTTGAACAAAGCTCAGCCATTAGCAAAATTAGAGTTAGCGTCTGCCCTCTAAAAATACCGAGAGGCCGGTATAAAAGACTACTTGAACGTGAAAGAATTTGTAAAATTTTAATATTGTAGTGCAGGGGCTGTGGACGACAAAATACTTCAAACTTCTACATATTTGTCCCAATTTTTACAAACGTACAAGCAAAGAAAACTCCCCAAACTCCACAATGTTTGGAAATGGCGCGACATTACGTCCTCCACGGTTTACAAAAGAAAAGTCAAACCCTTCCGAAAATTTGCGTAGATACCAATACTAGGTATAACATCAAACGTAAAATACGGCGTAAGGTTAATCTACCATTTAGTAACAGGACTGTGAGTTACCTTTACCCTGTTTGTCCAATTTTACTCACGTCGCCTGCATGGCTGGGCATCGGTCGTTAATCTGCGCTGCATCATTAATATTTAAATTTTTCACGTGACTCTTGACAATGTTTTTAAAAGTTCTTTTTTTCTGACTTTATCAACCAGTTTCATGGGATTGTCAGGTGGGGAATGCGCAGTCCTACCGAGGAGCAGTCTCTGTGACTACTACAGGCAAGACGTGTCAACGCTGGGACAGTCAGACACCTCATCCACACAACAGGACACCCGCCAATCATCCTTCAGCCGGACTGGATCTGAACTACTGCCGGAATCCTGACGGCTACACCGGAGTTTGGTGCTACACCACGGATCCCGGCACGTTATGGGAGGCTTGTGCTATACCAGAATGTGGTAAGATCAGATTCTGTAACCTTATGATATAATAAATCTGGTGTTTCTCAGTTGGATTAAGGCTGTCCAGGGAACCCGAGTATCTACTTTGGGGGGTCCTGTAGGAAAACAGCGATAACTCCGTGATAAATGCTTAAAAATGTCTAAAATTCTAGGTAAAGCAGTAGCCTAATGGAGGACTGCAACCTTGTGTCATTATGTCATTTACATATTGTGAGTCACTATATTAACTTGTTTATCACGACAAATCAATTTTTTTGTCAACAAAATGTAGTTTTAAAAGCTATTCCTGAAGTCCAAAATGCGCGATTTCTTTCCCAATATTTTCACTTTCCCAATGACCAGTCAGTAATTAATCACGCCAGGCAGCTGGATGGGTGGCACATGGTCACCCGATTCAAGGTACCTACTTGATCCACATGGCCGAAGGATACCTCAAAACCAATTCCCTAGGGAATGCATTCGTGCAATTTTTGACATTCTTTCAAAGCGATCGTAGTACTTGCACAAATGCCTCCGCCCCAAAGGCGTCACGAAAAAAATGCGTCAAGAAATAATCGAGTTCTAATGTCGACTTACATACGGACACACACCACTGTCAAAACGAAAACAAACTATTTCGAATTATATCTTCTTGACAAAGAAAACATTAAACAGTATCGACAGTGTTCTCATTATTAAAGAAACGATTCGTCCGATTAACAACTCTTAATTTGCAATTGGGATGTGACGTGTGAACACTCCCGCCCCCTCCATCTCTGATGACCTCTGCAGCATTGGTCAGGTTAAAGCCATCTTAGGAAGTATGAACTCAAGAAAATCAGGTGGCCCTGACGACATCCCGAACTGGGTTCTGAGTAGCCTCCTTCGCAGTCTTGTTGGGCGTTGGCGTTATTTTTTTTCTATGAGCTACGCGAGTAGTATGCGGCCGCGAGGGACGATTTGCTGCCGAGGGAGATTTTGCCGCTGAGAGAAGGATTCGCGCTCCAACAGGACTGCTTCCAGTCGGCGACTAAAAAGGGCCATTAAAAACCAATTAGGAGCGATTGGCATGGATGTGTGAACTTCCCGCAATAAACGCCACCAGTGCCGGGAGGTGTTCACGCCCCGTTGCTCGACGAGCCCAAACTTGCAACTTTCTAGCGGTCGCCGATCAACCTGTCGGTAGAACGCCAACCATTCCCGAAAACCGAGCCCTATCCACTTAACAAAATCCCTTAGTCATTGCTGCTACGAAAAACAACTTTGAACAGATCACTACCACAGGAACCCGCAAGCTAAACTGTGATATTGCTGGGGGACGTGGACAGATAAACAAAGTGCCGCCATGTTGTTTGGTGGCGGGTTGATCTCACCGGTCATGGGAGGGTAACGCACCGCTCCATTCTTTGCGTAATAGAAAGAATGGCAAATTTCACCAGCAAAAATAGTAGTGCAAAGTTTGTCTTGGTTTGTTTGCATGGGACGCTAAATATACATGGCAATGCCTTTGTTGTAACATTACCAAATTATGTTCACTCTTTCTCTGTTGAAACCTTCCACTATAACGCAAGCTAATAAAACCAGCTGTTGACAAAGGCGAGCGCGTGTCAGCCTTCTCCATTCGTATCTGTTAATTACCCTTGCGCGGACATGTGAATTGGACCTGCACGAACATGTGATCTGCCCCTGCACGAACATGTTAATAGCCTCTATGAAAGGCGGACTTAATCTGAGGTACTTTTCGTCGCCGACTGGAAGCAGTCTTGTTGGAGGGCGAATCCTTTTCTCCGCGGCAAAAACTCCCTCGGCAGCAAAACCATCCCTCTGCGTCATATTACTCACGTCGCTCACAGAAAAAAAAATAACGCGAACGCCCAACAAGACTGCGAAGGAGGCTAGGTTCCGACTATGTTTTTCAAAGACCTAGCTCCAGTCGTCACTCATCTGATTAACTGTTCATATACCGCCGGAAACATTCCTTCTGCGTGGACAATAGCGAATGTGTGTTCAATTGCCAAGACTTCTGCACCAGTCAGCAAAAAGGATCGGTGACCTATAGCTATCTCGCTAATATCAACTCTTGGGAAGGTACAAGAGAGACTCGTGCTGTGCAGGTTTTTGCCCAACATGAAGCCATGATACAAGACCAATATGCTTATATGTCCAAGTAGTCATAAACCACCGTTGCCCTTCACAAAGCATATCAGTCCTGGTCAACTGGTTTGGCCACCAAGAAAACATCAATGACCCGTGTTCTCCTAGCTGACCTGTCAAAAGCCTTTGACTGAGTGGACCATGGGATATTGCTTCCGCCCCTGTCTGTTCGTGGCACGCCCCCGAAGATGTTAGCCTGGATCAACAGCTACTTTTTCGGCAGAGCACAACGCGCGATTCGCCAACGGCAAGTGTAGCAACTGGCGTAACGTCACTTCTGGAGTTCCACAAGAGGGTCTTGTCCCTATACTTGTTTCTAGTCTATATGTCGACCAGATCCACAATGTATGAGACTACTGACAACACCGGATACGTGGACGATATCGACCGGTCAAGAAACACCCCCTGAGCTGATGTCGCCGCAGACAGCTCAATGCAGAAAGAGGCTACACAGCTGGACTCCTGGGCAGCCTCTAATAACATGATAATGAACGGTGACAAATCCTATGAACTTAGAATATGTTTTGCAAGAAATCCTCCCGAGCCCCCTCCCCTCATTCTCGGAGGAACAGAAGTGCCAGTGGTCGACTGTGCTACTTACCTGGGTTTTAATGTACATGCGATATATCTACATATGATCGCTGCTGTTGTTGTTGTTGCGATATATCTACATATGATCGCTGCTGTTGTTGTTGTTGCGATATATCTACATATGATCGCTGCTAGCATACACAATACAGACAACCATGGCAATTATACTTACTTGCTACAAATACACTTAGTCCGGAATAAAAATTTTTACTCCGGAGTAATCAAGAGTAACATTTCACGGAGTAATACTTACTCCGGATTAATTTCTTACTCCGGAGCAACACGTTTATATCGATATATGTATATATAGACACATAAATACACGTATGCGTGATAGGAACATAAATTATGTGCACATATGCATATATACAAAGTAAATGAGTCACTCATGAATCACTTTTTTTAACGGTGCGGACGTGTCGCTCAATGCAAGGCCATTGGCCACTTCTAGGCATAGAGCTAGCCTGTAACTGTAACAGCAACTCTTCTCCCTGAGTCAGAAACATCCTCACAAGTAGTGAGGACTAACTGACCCACTAGGAGAAGCAGGAGTTACGAGGCTGGTCGGGAAAATTCCCTACCCCTTTTTGGACCATAATGGTTTGTTCCACCTCCGCTCACGTGGGTTCTTTAACGTGCTTGAGGTGTGTCTCTTCTCAAACACGGGACCTCCATTTTAACGTCCCATCCGATAAGACGCCCCTAACCGAAGTTAGGTACTTATTTTCACCTGAGTGAAGTGAGGCAAGTCGTGTAAAGTACCTTTCCCAAGGGTACAACGTCGCGGCGCATGCTCGGACTTGTTCGGGTACGACCCGGAATCGAACCCGGGTCTCCCCGTTTCATTGTCCAGTGATGTACCACTACACCACACGACGCCACTTTCGAGGGATATCACATCCAGTGGATATCACATCCATATTCATCAAAGATAATAATCGGGTCATGAAAGTGATCATTAAGCATTGACGCTTATAAATCAATAATCCATACGACCAATAACCAAATACATACCATAAGCCCCATAAACCCTTTCGCGAGATATTACGCGTAATGGTCTGTCCAGACGCTGCTGTCCATCAAAATGGTTCTGTCCACCTCCAATTATGCCTACATTACCCGAAAATCGATATTTTAAAATCATTTTTCTCAATTATGTTCTTAATTATGCATGCATTATAATTAGTAACAAATTTAAAACGATCAATGGCGCTCATTAATTAACTCATTTACTAGAATCCTTGCATAAATGTTCATAAATGTTTAATGGAGTGTTGTCTGGACGACAGGTTACCCAGATAGCCGGGTTCAAAAAATGTTATTCACCACTAGTTCACTTACACCGGAGTAATCATAAACTCCGACGGCCTAAATTTCCTCCGTCTCCTGGCCAAGGGCGGCATGCCTCATGAAGACTTGGTCACTGTGTACACGACCCTTCTAAGGCCGGCATTAGAATATGCAAATGTTGTATATGTGGGGTGTACTAAGTCCCAAAGAAAGACTCTCGAGGCTGTACAAAGTCGAGCCATGAAAATCGTAAACAAAGACAACAACAGCCCGACGTCTGTACCACTGGTTCTGCCCACACTTCAGTCACGGCGGGAGGAAGCAGCGAGAACTCTACTTACCCAGATGTGGGCAAGTGACCACACCCTGCACTAAATGGTCACCAGTGAGAGGATGGTAGAAACGAAAAGGACACAGAAAAGAACCAGAACCAACTCACACTGCCTCAATGCCGAACCGAGAGACTGAAACGATCATTCTTATACAATCAACACTGCTGTATAACAAATCTCTCAAATAATTCCACCCGTACTTTGTAAATATGTAATACTGTGTATATCTACAATGTATAATGTATAATGTGAATGCTGCTATTTTACAATTGCTAAGTTGTAAATGATATCAATGTAAAGAAATGGTTCTCTTAAGGTTTTTAATCTTCTGTGTAATTCGATAATGTTTTTTTGTAAATAAGCGCTAAGGCCATAGCAAGTAATTTATATGGCTGACATCAGCGCGAGCATTAAATTTCGCCTGATTTTGGAAGAAAAAAAAAGAAATTTGTTGCCTTCTGACTGTGGACACCATGCCGAAAATGGGCAATGATGCCTGTTGCCATACCGGAAAGTGGATGGCAGATAACTTTAAAGATAGGGGACAAGAAAAGGCTCTGACTTAATGTTTTGTTTTTTATTTTGATGCAGTGATATGTGATGTTGGCTGTGCATTCGTGATGTTTCCACTAAATCAAAATCTTTTGTACAATGATTGAGTCAAAATTTTAAAGTGTAGGAACCTTTTTTTCGGCTCGCATTAGATTAGGAGTCTGCAAAGGATGTCATCCATAAATTTGACTTGCTGTGGCCTAATTGAGATTTGTTGGAATCTGCCAAATGCTAATGAGCTTTCTTTTGTCTTATGTCTTAATCAAAGCTCTAGCATTAGACAACTACCTTTCAGTATGTAGATTTTAGTTATTATATACTCTGTTTTAATTTTCTTTTTACGTTTATTTGTTTATGTGAATGTACCACAACAAGTGAAAGTGAGATGAAAACAGGCGTATGGACACAATATTAAACAATAGTAACGTTATGTGCAAATTCCAACAATATCATCCATTAGACATGAAATATTGTACAAAACATTGTAATTAGATAATAAAAAAATATACAAAAGTGGTATCAAACGTAAAATACGGCGTAAGGTTAATCTACCATTTAGTAACAGGACTGTGAGTTACCTTTACCCTGTTTGTCCAATTTTACTCACGTGGCCTGCATGGCTGGGCATCGGTCATTAATCATTTAAATTTTTCACGTGACTCCTGACAACGTTTATAGAATTTCCTTTTTATACTTGAATCAACCAGTTTCATGGGATTGTCTGGTGGGAAATGGGGAGTCCTACCGAGGAACACTCTCTGTGACTACAACAGGCAAGACGTGTCAACGCTGGGACAGTCAGACACCTCATGTACACACCGCGACACCCGCCAATCATCCTTCAGCCGGACTGGAGCAGAACTACTGCCGGAATCCTGACGGCTACACCGGAGTTTGGTGCTACACCACGGATCCCGGCACGTCATGGGAGGCTTGTGACGTACCAGTATGTGGTAAGATCAGATTCTGTAACCTTATAATGAGATAAATCTGGTGTTTCTCAGTAGGGTCAAGGCTGTCCAGGGAACCCGAGTATCTACTTGGGGAGGGTGGGGGGCTGTATGAAAATCTCGAAAAATCCGTAATAGATACTTGAAGCTGTCGCAAATTTAGAGGTAACGCAGTGGCCTAATAAAGGATTGCAACCGTGTGTCATTATGTCATTTTAATATTGTGAATCAATACTTTAACATGCTTCTTAAGCGTAGTTTAGAAAACTACAATGTATTCCTAAAGTTCAACATGCACGGTTTTCCCCGTACATGCCGGCATGTTCCGCCTATTCAGTTAACTTACAAGATTCAATTGACAACATGCTCCTTTTTAAAGAAAAAGATGGATTTGTCTAGTTTAGGGGTATTATTATAGGATATACAATCGAGAAAAGCACGAAAAGCCCGCTATAATCAAATTGCGAAAAAACGGTGATCCATTTTACCTTCGCCAAGAAGGTTATGGTTTCGTTGGTGTTCGTGTATCTGTGTGTGTGTGTGTCTGTGGAGAAGATAGCTTGAGAAGGCTTAAATGGATTGCCTTGATACTTTGTAGGTGGGTAGGTCTTGCGGTGACCTGGAAATGATTAGATTTTGGACCACCTAGCGGCTTGTTATGGTACTGCAGCTGAACTACCGCTTTTGATTAAGAACGAGAGAAACACAGGCAGATATTGATTATGTAAATAAACACTTTATTTGCATAATTAATGTGAAAATGTTATAATTCCATAATGATAACTGTCTGGAATTTCATACTTGGGGTATTTGAAAGTGAAGGTGAACATCATTAAACAAAACTTATTCAAATAAGGACCTCATTTGCAGAATGTATGAGGAAATGATAGCATGGCTTTCTTTGTTGAAATAAGGCTGTTTTTGGTGGGGAATATGATCAATTGTTATAATTAATACAAATAAGGATCCTATTTCCATAATCAGGAGGAATAATCTTAAATTTGTGTGTCATAAAGAATACAATCATTTGGCAAAGGTATGAGAACGTGAAACTCCAGTTGAACTTGAAGTATATTTTTACAACAGCTACCCCCCCCCAAAAAAATGAAAAAATGCTCGGTTCAATGATCGATTTCTAATGTCGACTTATTTACGGACACCCCGAAAAAAAAAACAATTACAAATTAGGTCTTCTTCACAAGGTGAACAATAATGCAGTATTCCTTTAGTTGAATGAGCGATTCGTCCGATTAACAACTCTAAATTTGCAATTGGGATGTGACGTGTGAACAGTGACGTATTACGAGATTTGAAGGCAACATCTGCGTTAGCGCAGCGTAAGCTGGGGAAAGAGTTTGTTGGTCTTTCTCTTATTACCTATTAGTGATATGTTAAGATTTTACTCATAATGTAAACCATGTACAACATACAGAGCGATATCTTGATCTTGCAGATTTTGAACAAAGCTCAGCCATTAGCAAAATTAGAGTTAGCGTCTGTCCTCTGAAAATACCGTAATTCCGGTATAGAAGACTACATGTACGCGAAATAATTTGTAAAATTTTGATATTGTAGTGCAGAGGCTGTGGAAGACGAAATACTTCAAACTTCTACAATTTGTCTCAATTCCTTTTAACTTACAGAAAAAGGAAAAAAAAATAGGCTTCTTTCAACTTCCTAAACTCCACAATGTTTGGAAATGGCGGGACATTAGGTCTTCCTCGGTTTACAATGAAAAAAACAAACCTTTTGGACATATTCAGTTTTGAAAAAGCTCTAGTTTTAGACAACTAGATTTTAGTTATACTCTGTTTAAATGTTATTTCACGTTTATTTGTTCTATGTGAATTTACCACAAGTGAAAGTGAGATGAAAACAGGTGTAATGATACTTTTGCTAGATGCCCCAACAAACACTACAATATGAATACAGTACAATATAATAAGATAGAACAAACATATTTAAATACTGAATATAATTGATGTTATCTATAAATTCCTACAATATCATACATTAGACATGGAATGCTGCACAATACATTGCCATGAGGTGAAGTGGTAATGGATACTAATGCTCGAGGTCAATTCGCGTAAATACTAATCGTGGCCCAGTCATCAAATCAAACGTAAAGATACGGCGCAGGGGTTATCTACCATTTAGTAACAGGACTGTGAGTTACCTTTACCCTGTTTGTCCAATTTTACTCACGTGGCCTGCATGGCTGGGCATCGGTCGTTAATCTACGCTGCATCAGTAACATTTAAATTTTTCACGTGACTCTTAGCTATTATAGAATTTCCATTTTTTTATAAATTTCATCAACCAATTCCATTTGCCAGGTTGTCAGAAAGGAAATGGGGAGTCCTACCGAGGAGCAGTCTCTGTGACTACAACAGGCAAGACGTGTCAACGCTGGGACAGTCAGACACCCCATGTACACACCGCGACACCCGCCAATCATCCTTCAGCCGGACTGGAGCAGAACTACTGCCGGAATCCTGACGGCTACATCGGAGTTTGGTGCTACACCACGGATCCCGGCACGTTATGGGAGGCTTGTGCCGTACCAGTATGTGGTAAGATCTGATTCTGTAACCTTATGATGAGATAAATCTGGTGTTTCTCAGTAGGGTCAAGGCTGCCCATCAGGGAACCCGAGTATCTACTTGGGGAGGGTGGGGGGCTGTATGAAAATCTCGATAACTTTGAAATAAATACTTGAAGCTGTCTCAAGTTTAGAGGTAACGCAGTGGTCTAATACTTCGTTCCTTGCATACTTTACTCTCGTGCAGATGGTATATTTAGAAGCATATAAGTTTACATTGTATTTTATCTTTTCACAGGATAAAGGCCTGACTGGACGGTTTATGATTGAATGGCAATACAAAAGCTTGACTTGGATATGAACTGTCGTTAATGAAAATGCGATTGGAATCTCACTTGGAAAGCCCCCTTAATGGCTTTCTTTTTTTGTAATGAATGAATAAAAGGAGCAATCAAAACTAGAATGGCCCAATTTGATAGGGAAAAAACAACATATTTCACTCGATTCTCCGACACATGCGCGGATGGATGGTCCCATGTCAACTTTTTTTTCAAAAATGGACAACACCAATGTTACTTCTACTCGACAATGGACTATCCAAACATCGTCCCACTCCAAATACTTGACCCTTATGCAAAATGAACTATTTCGAAGGCACTTTTAACCAAAAAAATCTTAACAAACATTGATTAGATCTGTGGATATATGTCCAAAGTCTCAAAATGTCTTATAATATTCAATATCCAATTTTTTAGAGTATGCAAATAATTCCGAGTCCTTGTTAAAGTTATCATCATTGATTACCAAATAACGAAGTTCTATACTATTCACCATGTAAAAGGCATAGAAAAAAAACGCGAAGGAAAATCACACAAGAAACATCAGGTAAAACTAAAAAAGAATTCCATAGTTCGACAAAATAGTTAGTAAATAAGTAAATTAGTAAATAAGTAAATAAGTTAGTAAATAAGCAAATAAGTTAGTAAATATAGTTCGACTAACCTATCACATAGTTCGTAAGTAAGCGACTTACCTATTATATAGTTTGACTATTCTATAACAAGGTCAGTAAATAGGCCACTTACCTGTTACATAGTTCGACTAACCAATTACATAGTTCGTGAATAAGCGAGTTACCTATTACATATATCGACTAACCTATATATAGTTCGTAAATAATCGACTTACCAGTTACAAAGTTCGACTAACCTATTTCATAGTTCGTTAATAATCGACTTACCTATTACATAGTTCGTAAATAATCGACTTACCTATTACATAGCTCAACTAACCAATTACATAGTTCGTAAATAATCGACTTACCTATTACATTGTTCAACTAATCAATTACATAGTTCGTAAATAATCGACTTACCTGTTACATAGAACAACTAACCAATTACATAGTTCGTAAATAATCGACTTACCTGTTACATAGTTCAACTAACCAATTACACAGTTCGTAAATAATCGACTTACCTGTTACATAGTTCAACTAACCAATTACATAGTTCGTAAATAATCGACTTACCTGTTACATAGTTCAACTAATCAATTACATAGTTCGTAAATAATCGACTTACCTGTTACATAGTTCAACTAACCAATTACATAGTTCGTAAATAATCGACTTACCTGTTACATAGTTCAATTTATCAATTACATAGTTCGTAAATAATCGACTTACCTGTTACATAGTTCAACTAACCAATTACATAGTTCGTAAATAATCGACTTACCTGTTACATAGTTTAACTAACCAATTACATACTTCGTAAATAATCGACTTACCTGTTACATAGTTCAATTTATCAATTGCATAGTTCGTAAATAATCGACTTACCTGTTAAAAAGTTCAACTAACCAATTACATAGTTCGTAAATAATCGACTTACCTGTTACATAGTTCAATTTATCAATTACATAGTTCGTAAATAATCGACTTACCTGTTACATAGTTGAACTAACCAATTACATAGTTCGTAAATAATCGACTTACCTGTTACATAGTTCATCTAATCTATTACATAGCTAAATAAACGACTAACTGCAATAGGAAGGGCAGGGAGAAGGAAGAGTGGAGAAAGAAGAAGTCGGTAGGCTCCAGGTTAGGCATAGCAGAAGACATTGAATAAAGAATACAGCTAGATAACCTAGCCATGAAGAAGATTTGGCACATGTGGACATCAAAACATATCTCTCTAGAGCTCAAGATAAAACTGTACAACACTCTCCGCTACCTACACCAAAAATGATGGAAATACGTTGTTCCTATCTGGACTTAGTGGCTTTCAAAGATTTCGCCCGAAAGTCCCCTGCAGTTCCAGGATAAGCTGCTAGGGAGACCAAACCCACACCACTTATTCATGACAGGAAAAGCTATCTGTCACCAAAATTCAAGACCATAGCATGTTCAGGACAAAAGATACAAAAACCGGAAGTCATCCACCAGGAGGCCCATATTTGACTTTGACCTTTGTCTTCCTAAGACTTACCAACTTACCAAATACCATCACGATCCATAAAGTCGTTCTGAAGTTTTGCTAACCACAAAGTTGCGGAAACACACACACACACACAGACAGACACACAGACATACAGACAGACACGCCAAAAATAGTACCTCCATTTTTCATGGAGGTAAAAAAAAGAATTGTGGTTTGTGCTGAGCCAGACAAGAGAACCTCTTCCATCAAGCAATGGATTCAAGCTTGTTTCGATCAGTAACCTATCAGTGTTTTTCTTGTGAAAAGTAAAGTTTAGTACCTATACAGTTAATCACGAATGGGAGGCAAGTATTGTATGCATACGCGTGCGACACTATTGTTGTTGGTTTCCCTTCTGTCGTTGGAGATGGGAGATTCCATCATAACAGGGCAACAAGCTGAGCATCTTAAAAGTAAGTAACTGTGCAAAATTTCTCTCTGTGCTCACTAGTACTGTAGCGCAAAGCGTTCATTTCAAGCTGGCACAACTTCAAGCATATTCAGAGACCCAAAGACTGAACAGGCTCAAACTGTACGCGGTTGTCAAAATGGAATAGAAGCTGGACATAACTTTTCTCAGTATGTGGAGTTAACCTAAGACTAGACTTTTTTAAATCAAAATTTGATAACCCACTATAAGAATGGGAACAACAGAACAAGACAACTTTACTATGTGCAGCATTAACCTTACTGGCCCCTACATGTATGTGTTAGTAATCTTATTTGTCCACTGAAGTAGCTGTTCCGTGGCTTTGCCAAACTTAGTTCGATGAACACATGACTCTTTTAGATTGGGACAGATCTATAGGAACAACCCTAACAAGTTCATTTTCTATCATTCTTCAGACAGGATTGTAAGGTTGAAAACATGGGTTGATGCAATCAACCTAAAAGTGGCCCGAACTATCTTTGAACAACATGGCGGAGACTGGTCTTCCGGAGGTCCCGTTTGTTCCAACGCCATAACCCGGTAAGGTTGTATCTCTGTTAAATTATGCGTGTGTGTGTGTGTGTGTGTGCATGTGTGTGGTTGTGTGTGTGTGCATGTGTGTGGTTGTGTGTGTGTGTGTGTGTGTGTGCATGTTTGTGGTTGTGAGTGTGTGTGTGTGTGTGTATGTGCGATTGCGTATGTATGTGCGCTTGTGCATGTGTGTGTGTGTGCTTGTGTGTGTGTGTGTGTGGGTGTGTGTGTTTGTGTGTTTGTGTGTGTGTGTGTGTGTGTGCGTGTATGACACAATTAGTGATGGAGATTTTTTTCCTTGGGCAGGGGTATATAATGCTCTAGATAAGACGGCGTTCCAAACAACCACAGTGGGTTACACTTCAGGATCGACAGGCGATAAGTATCCTGGAGTTGCTGATCTTGCTGTAGACGGGAACAACAATTCTCCTCATCACAATTTCCGAAGAGAACCCCACTTTCTATCTATGCACAGATAAGATAACGATGTTCTGCAATTCCTACCAGGTCACCTATTTATTATCAATTTAACACATAACAACTTAATAAAAATTCAGCACATAACAATTATTAGTTAGTAGACTATTCCTTGATCAGTGACTTTTTTTGAAAGGTAAAATTACATACCTCGTACACATTTTGGGTGTACGAGAACAGCTATCAATTTAACACATAAAACAACTAGAGAGGCCGACAATTGCTTGGGAGCAAATACAGCATATTTCAGTCCATCTCCCTCCCACTCAAAAGTGGACTATTCCAAACTTACCCCAGTGTAAAACTGGCAAAGATTCTCAAATAAATGAATTATATAGTAGCTTTGTAATTGTGAACAAAGATGCAAGAACAAGCACATTGAATCTCGAAAGCTACTAATCTTATTACAGGTATGCAAATACTAAAAATGATGAGATTTGATACATTTTGAAGGTCTTAGGCACGTAAAATTGAATGAGTGGGTCATTACGCACGACTTACGTGCAGGTAACCTGCAATGGAACACGTGTTCCATGGCCAACGGCAGATGGAACAGGCATAATGCAAACTGTTGATTTTCAAGATAGAAAAGCGTTTATGCCCCACATTCCAATGCTTAAGCAGGAAAGTTTGACATACCTACCAAAACAATTCAATGCAGTATCTACTTTTGATAAGCCTATTCGCCATTACCGGCGCGAAATGCATGATGGGTAAAATCCGCCATTTTTCTAGATAAACTAACTGCATGGTCCCCGCTACACAGCGAGCGCGGGTGTCGAATCCCGCTACGTAGCTCAAAAATATGAGTTTACCTGGGCCGTAAGTGGAGATTTTATATCTTATTGGACGGCAAAGATGACAGACGTTTCTTGGTTGAGGTTAGACGCCGGTAAGTGCTGGTTTTCAAAGCTTTTCCGCGAGTCACGTCCAGGGGAAAAGTCTACAACTTCAAGGCGCATACAACTTTGTATGCTTAAAAGAATCACGACGCGGTTGCCGAATTCGCCGAAGACAGCAGCAGGTTCAGTTGTGAATGTCAAGAATTATAGTCAAGAATACAAAACTTACCTATTACTCGACCCGGTGGGCTTTTTGTAATACGGAATTCCGTAGTTCGTCGAACCGAAGGACGACGTCAAAGAAAGCCCCTCCCCCCGCACTTAAAAATCGGCCGAACACTGAGTTTAGCGAGCCGGCCCTGTGCCTCCCACACTGCGTAAACGGCTGTCGGGCGACTATAATGAGGAGAAAACATACTCCTACTTCGATTTGGAATGTGTAAACGAAGTCTATTACCATCACATTACCCCAGCTGCAGACAGAGATTATTGCTTCCTCAAACGACTAGGCAGTCATCTTACCTCCTTAGTCCACACTGTCTTGGCCGCGTAGGCGAACTTGTCCACAGACCCAGGATACAGAACCCAAGACTAACAGTAGTATTCAAGCAACCATGGCATTAATTTCTTTGAAGAATCTTGTTTAATAGAATATGTCTTGCTCCTATCTTACTTCCTATGCAACATTCATTAAGTGCTGTCCACATTAGAGAGATATGGGAATAAGAAAAATATCAAAATGGTGCTTGTTTTGTTTTCTTTATAGTATATACATGTATGTACTTGTAACAGACAGAACAATCTTTATCCAGGGTAAATAGTAATTGAAAGGTTATCTGAGTTGGTAAGTTACATATTTTATTAAGAAAAAAACTGTTCTCCTACTCAAGAAATTTGAGTTTTCAACTATATCTGTCTTCATCAACTATCTGAGCCATTTGCTGTGACATTATTATATTTTCTACATCACTTTCATTGCAGAGCTGTTTGTGTGTTAACACAGTAAGTTTATATTTAACGGTGCTTGTATGT